GTTTAAATAGAAGCGATCGTGGGGAACAGAGGCATTTAGTCGAACCACGAGTCCAGCGAATGTTAAGAAGAGCCCAATTGCGCCGGAAATAGTTTGTACATAATCGTTGTAATAGTTAGTCGTTTAAATACAAATTATTAAGAAATAAATTGTTGAGTTTTAACCAACTCCGATTTCATTCGCCCACTCATCGTAACAAAATTATGTAAATAAGCTTAATATCACTAATTCAATAATAGCCCCTCTTTAAAATTTTCCTATTAACGCCACTGACCTTCTGGCATTAGTTTTGGATCAAAAATTGTCAGTGTTTGCCCTACTCTTATCATTATATTATTTAGGTACACTAATTGAATGTTGTGTGAAATGGCTCTAATAAAATCATGAACTGTGTATTTTTCATTGTTTTGGGTAATGGTTTTTAATCTTTGTAAGTTTTTTTCTGATGAACGGCGATGACCGAAAACTGTTATGCCAACCTTTAATATACTAAGTGCAAAAAAAATCCGAACACCTTGAAAACGTCGATATTTTCAAATGAAATTTTATACACGAATTGGTTATTGTATAAGTAAGAAATGATGAACATATGAAGACAATTTGAAGAACTTGTACATCTTTTTAATTGTTGTTACCCTGATTTGAGGTTTAGCAAACTGGGGCTGTTCTGTCAAATTTGGACGTTTTTCGGTATTCGCTTTCGACAATTAAAATTCCTTAAAAAGCCATTAACATGCCCCCAGTGCGAAAACGTCTTCAGTATTCATAATTAAGTGATTTTGATAGGGGTCGAATAGTAGGCATGCGTGAAGCAGGATTGTCCTTTAGAGAAATTGCACTTCGTGTTAACAGAGCTGTGTCTACAGTGACGGAATGTTGGCAGGCGTGGAGTCAAGACGGGAGAGGACACAGAGCTGAAGGATCCGGGCGACCAAGAGCTACCACTGAGCGCCAAGACCGTCGTCTGCGTTTGTTAGCTCTAAGAGACCGAAAGTCTACAACACGGGCAATTGCCAACGAATGGTTTGCTGATGCTAGTAGACCTATAAACATGCGTTCTGTATAGAACCGTATTAGATCTTTTGGCCTTAAATCTTACCGCCCACATTTTGTTTTACCTTTAACACCTGAACATAAGCGTCAGCGACTCGAATGGTGCAGGGAACGTAGTGGATGGGACGAGGAATGGAACACTGTTGTATTCAGTGACGAATCGCGCTTTTGTTTATCCATGCATGATGGCCGTATGTTAGTAAGAAGAAGACGTGGAGAAAGACGAAATCCTCAGTTTGCTGTGGAAAGACATGTCCATCGCACAGTAGGATTAATGGTGTGGGGGTGCATTGCTTACGGCAGTAGATCTGCCTTAGTGTTTATTAGGGGCAGTATGACCTCTCAGCGATATGTGGAAGAAGTGGTAGGACCACATCTTCTTCCCTTCTTAAGAACGCAACCTGGGCTTGTTTTTCAACAAGATAATGCGCGTCCACACGTCGCTAGGAACAGTTTAAACTTTTTTGAAGAGTCTGAAGTGGAGTTATTGCCATGGCCTCCTAGATCTCCTGACCTCTCGCCCATTGAGCATGTATGGGATATGATGGGACGACGTTTAACTCATCTTCAACGACCACCACAAACTTTAAACGACCTGAAGCGTGAAGTACAAGCTGCTTGGGATGAACTAAATCAGGATGACATTGATCGACTCATTAGGTCAATGCCAAGGCGTGTAAACGAATGTCTCAACAACAGGGGTGCTCCAACCCATTACTAGCTTAGGTGTTAATATTTTCATTTGAATTTTTGATCATTTACTAGTAGTAAGTAGTAGAGTGTAAACCCAAAAGATTTTCGAAAAATTATTATTCTCTCCAGATTTTTTTTGCACTTAGTATACATTATTTGTTTTTGGTAAACTGTTTTCGATGGAATCTCTACAATTCTACATCGATATTGAAAATTGTGAAGTTCTCCTTCGTCCTCTTCGGTCCAAAACTCCCTACCATGTCGTTTCAGAATACGTCAAAAGCAACCGCAAAATAGTTTCATTGCTACAGAAAAAGTCACAATAACCAAATAACGAGTGATTGAAAAATTTCCAAATCAAAGGAGGTCATGAAAATAGTTGTCATGTCATTGATTAAATTATTAGTGTCAAAAACTCACATTATTAAAATAGGTAGAAATAAAGTTATGCACTTTCAGTTTAATCAATATATTCCATGACTACCTCTAATCTGAAAACTTTTTGAGCGCTTTTTGTATGTAATGCTAATTCGACTGATTCATAAATGTACAAGAAAGATTACTTTTATGACATAGAAAAAATGTATCCCTTTCCGCTACATGAACTTTAATGACGTCATATCAAAATTTTCCTAAGCCTGGTAAATCGTTGATCAAAATTTATCCGTTTTTTCTTTCCAAAAAATTAATAACGTCACCACAAAATTTTACCCAATAAATATTGTTTAAATTTTATAAACTAACATTCTCCTGCACTTGTGGTTTATGAACCCGTGTTCAGTTTTTATCCTTGATAATCAAATATTTAGAGAAAATCAAAACTATATATCAATGTTTTACAATTTAGCTTTGGAAGCGGAAAACCCTATGGTTCGAAATTTCGCAAACGTTTGAAGATTATCGTAAGCATGGTAAAACGTACTGGTATCTTATCTCCTCCCTCTCTCTCAGGTTTTCATTTTATATAGGTTATCACAAAAAAAAATCAAGTTTTTACAATTTTTCAAATATAACGGGATTTATTGAACCGTACTTCAGAGGAAAGGGAAGTTCTGTTGAAATAACTTTCGACCAATTTCTTTTTGCTTGTAAAGTATCTCTATACGAAGTAAGTGTTTTCTTCTGTATGATTCGCTCATTATTTTACTTAAACAAACACATTTTATTGCAGATTATGCCAACTAAAATATAATCAAAGCTTCCTCATGATTTAATTGAACTGATATCGATATTAAAATGTCTGTTTACTTAAATTTGTCTTATAAATAGAGCTGCAACTATTTTTAGATTTAAACATAGCTCGTAACTTCTTACACTACTCTGAAGAAGCAAGAACACATTTCACTTATTTTAAGTCTTATTCCTTAAAGATTTTTTACAAGACGCTTTAGGGTCCATAAATCTATTTTTAGAAAGAACATATTTAAATTAATAGATACCTAATTAAAGTCTGACTACTTTAAACACTTCATTTTAAAACAACTTTTTGCCATCTTACACATTAATAGATCATGTGTTACTCTAAGGTTATTTTTAAATTAATTACGAAAATGTACCAGTGCAAATGTCTTGTCTCTTTAAGCTTTTTCTCATTTTAGAACAAAAAATAAGCTGTTTAATTTACGTCTAGCGAGACTATTCATTAAACTTTAATGCAGCTTGTTCAAACATATCTATTTATTTATTTATTTGCACATTTTAGCTTCGCATTGCAAAATTTGCAGAGTCGTCTACAATAATTCATTTTTGCAGTTTAAGGAACGTTAAAACAATTTATAAAATAAGTCAGAGTATGCGATAAGTACGTATCGCATTCAATTAATCTGACAGGTGCAGACAGTTAAGAGTTTGCTTTATTTTTAAATCGATGTTCCTCTCTTCCAGAGCTTTCTTTCATCTAAGCCAACGTGTCAAAATATAGCTGCAGGTTGAAGTAAAGATTTGGTTCGGGGTTCTTCGAGGTTAAAAATACGACCTATACATCAAAAATTCAATGCGTCTCAAATATTTTTATTTTTATAATGTAGACAAAATTCACTTCACAATGTAAAGTATTTCCTACCGGCATATATTTGATTTTTAAAATAGTTTCTTAAAGCGTTTGTGTTTTTAAAGACTATTATTTTAAGCGCGAAAATATCTTAAAGATAAAATGTGCTCTATCATGTATCATGCAACCGACAAAATTCTATGAGTCATTCAAGACAATCATGCGTACTATTGGTAATTACATTTAACCAAATTTACTAAATTCATAGAATAACAATGCGTAATGGACAATTAAAACCATTTTTTATATTTATGCGGTTTAATAAAGCTTACACCTACTTAAAATACGACAAAATGAACCAAATTAACGAAAATTTTTCATTATTCTTGTTTAAGAAATTTCCCATTCTTCCACTCGACAACCGTCTGGAATAATGCCGTTAATAGTTTGTCCTAGCATTTATTGAGCTATAATTGTGTGTTAAATTTTTAGTTCCCGAGCTTAAGCTTAGATTTGTGAGAAAAAATCCTTTCATATATTTCATATTTATTTCGTGCTTTTAGTTTATATTTTGGTTTTAAATTTTATGACCACTTCTTTGCTACAATTTAGACTGACTTGAAATATTCGTTGCAGTATTTATAAGGTGGGTTATAAATCAACCACCATCCACAGCGAGTATTTGAAATACGAACTTGAAGGATTTTATCCGTATCAGCCTGCAGAGCATTGCTTTGTTCCAACACAATCAAATGGAGCTTTGGATGACGTGTCATATAGAGTCGAAAATTCATCCAAATTCCTCCAGACAGTTCACATGCATTAAACTAAAAGCTCTCAGTTGCATCGAATTTCCACCCTCAACCATTGCAGCATACTTTATGGGAAGCACATATATGCGAGCAAACGCGTCAAAGACCCCGGGAAAACTATAACTCACAACGTCACATTTGTCACTGATAGAAATACAATCTGCACCCTGTCTCGTCCTGTTTCCCCTGACGATAAATCCCACAAAAACTGATACGAATTTAACCGTGTCTTTTTGACAGTATTGAAAATGATAAGATGCTAATGAAGAGGAATTACTCAATTTTTTTCAGCGGAGCGCCGAGCTCTCGCCAAATATTGTTGTCATTAGGTTGGAGCGTTAATTTACTTCCCTAGATGAAAAAGTAAATTAAATATAAAGTAACGAGTTTTTATTTGCTCGTAACTCGGCATTCGCTATTTATCTTTTTATCAATGTGGTTTTTGCTTGCAGCTTAGATGCCCGGAACGTCCCTCTCACTCAGGCCCCTCAGCTGGCAATGAGTGATGACCTCGGCAGACGCTGTTACGTATACTTCGTTGGGGATGAGAGACCCACCAAAGCCAACCTTCGAATACATAACGTAACCATACACGACAAGGGCGTCTTCAGATGCAGAGTGGACTTTGACAACTCGCCCACCAGAAACTTCCGGTTCAACCTGACATTAGTAGGTCAGACTTGTATATCATCAACGAAAAAATCTTAATCGTCATTTTTATTTTACTTATTAAATAAGTAATAAGTGCTTATATTCGATTCCTGCAGAGTCAAGATAATTTTTAGAATCACTGTCAAACAGAGCGTTAATAAATTACGGTTGTGTAAAAATGACTTTAATTTAAGTTTGCAGATTGGTACATTGCTTCATTCGTTAACTCTTTAACCCGTTAATGATTGTAAAGAGTCTGATTTTTTGTGGCAAAATTTGTTCGTACTTTAGTCGTTATTAAACGGACCAAATACCTGTGTTAATACGAGTATATTTTCTTGAAATAAAAATCCTGTTTATATAAACAGGCTGGCCATCAGATGATACAAATTTTAGTTTTAAATTTTTGGTATGTGGATGTAGCTATTTTTATTTTTTGAATTGTTTTGGAACTAATAACATGATACCACATAACTGCAATAGTCCCTCAATATCTCTCTCACAAGAACTGTTTTCGACCAAAAAAATGTTAAGCATTTGACTCAGTCAGTGCTAAGGCACACTTAAATCTAAAAATACTAGTAGTAAGTGTTTATTTTTACCCTACGGGCTTAAAAAATTCTTGATTTACAACACTACAATTTTTTTCCTAATTAACAAAAACCAAATAAATACATTTTATAAACCAAATAACTAATTTTTTTTCCTTTACCCTATCCCCCCTTGCCCCAGCCTTACTCTTGTCCACTTGTCTTTCATCCATTCCACCCCTCGTACGTCTTTATTCAATATCTCTGTCACACTCTCCTCTCTTTCTTTGCTCTCCTCACAGTCATACAGCATGTGCTCTATCGTCTCTCGCCCTTCTCCACACATCCTACACATTCTCTAAACTTCGCTTACCCAAAATTTATTATTTCTTTCTTCATTTCCACACCTAAATCTCCCAATTATTATTTTTTCTTTCGCGCTTTCTCTGTCTAGGTACTATGGTATTGTTTCTGTTATTATCTTTCTATAGTCTGAATTGTACCTAGATTTACTTACACTCGCTCTTCTCTCTTGTTTATCTATGTCTCTGTCACGCATACACAATTCTTCTCTCATACTCACCCCCATTTCTCTCTTTCTCTCTATTTCCATCCATGCCAATCCTAGTCTTTCATAATATCCTTGTCTACCCTTGTGATGTTCTTTTCCTGCTTCCTTTTTTTTTCCTTCCAGCATTCATACAATATCCTACATTCCCCTCTTTCTTTCAATCTTTCATCATACTTTACAGCTCTTTTCCCAGGGTATACTCTTAATTTCTCTCGTTTACGTTCTTCTCTTACTATATAGCTTGGCGTCTCTTTCCGTAGCCCTAACATCCACCTCAAATATTTTTCTTATACTGCTTTCATCTCTGCATATTCCTTCCATCCCCATATCTCCACACCATACATTAGTACACTCCTAACTAAACTATCAAACATTTTCATCTTACGTCATGTCCAAATATTCTCTCATCATTCATTAAATCCCTCAATCTTTCAATCATCCCATCCGTCCCAAATATCCACACTTCGTTTACTAACTCATCCCTCCCCGGTGCTTTTCCTCTTTTCAGTCTTCCTACTTGTTTTCCTATTTCCTCTACTCGAATCTCAGCCTCTCTTTCTCTACCACCAAGCCCGGTTTTACTATCTTGCACTACAATTCTCTCTTCCTTTCCATTCAAAAATTCCATAAAATGTTTGTTGCATTTGTGATTTTGTTCTTCTGTTCTTTATTTATATACTGCCATGCCTCTTGTTCAGTTCTTATGTCTTTAATTTTTTCTTCTTCTTCTTGCTGCATCTCTTCTTTCTTTTCTTTGCATCGTTTTCTATCATTATTTTTTGCTTGCCAGTACTCTTCTTTTATACCTTTCCCCTTTTTCCGCCTTCGTAAACATTTCCTTGCTTCTATTTTTAAATCTCTGCATCTGCTATCCCACCATCTGTTTCTCTTTTCTAAATTTCTCCTTACAATTTCTTTTCTTATGGCTGCTTTTTCAATTTATCTTTTTAATTCTTCCATTTTCTTTTCAGTTACTTTTTCTTTAAATTCCACTTCCAACATTTTTATATTTATAATGCTCAATTCCTTTTTTATTCCATACCCATATCTTCTTCTCTTTTCCTACTTCATTCCTTAAGCATCCGCTCCCTCTACTTATGCCCCTCACTTTTACTTCTAGTGGCATGTGATCGGAGTCCACTCTTTCTCCTATCTTGAATGTTTCTACCTCTTCTTCTGCTAATCCGTTTACTATTACGTAGTCTATTACCGATTCCCCTCTTTTACCTATCCACGTAAATTCCCTCTCCTCGTCCCCTTCCTTCACCCCATTCAAGACTTCCCAACCTCTTTCTTCATTTAATTCCCATAGCAATTTTCCGTCTTTGTTTTCTACTTTATCTTTCGATTTTCGTGTTTTCCCTGTCTTCTTCCCTGCTTTTGTTCCCTATTTTGGGATTAAAGTCCCCTCCTAACAGTAGAAATTCTTCTTCGGACTCTTCGATTTTTTCTTGTACTTCTTGTTTCGTGTTTCTCATTCCTCTACTATATATTGTGCAGATTCTCCATCTTTTTTTTATTTACAGTCAGTTTTCTTTCAACCATGCCTTCCATTTCTATCGCCCCCTCTTCTATTTCTTTTATATCTCTCTTCACTCCTGTTATGATTCCACCTTTTGCTCTACCCTTGCGTTTTTCTTTTTTTGCCCCTTGCAATTTCCAGTGAAATTGCTTTGGCAACACGTCTTTCAGTTTATTCCAGTCTCTCTCTAGTATCCATGTTTTTGTTAGTCCCACAAAATCAAAATTTTTCACGTAGTCCCAAAATAAATTATCTGTCTTTTCACACCCGCAAAATTCCAAAAGAGTAATTTTAAATCACGTTTATCTTTCCCATTCCCCTATTATGTACAAAATCTACATTCTTAAACCTAAAGTCTTTATTTGTCCTATCATTACTACCCCTCGCCTTTGTGTTTCTTTCTTACATTTTGTCCTCTAATTCCAGCTTCTTATATCCAACCTTTGTTGTGTACCTATCCTTTTTTTCTTTCCTCTTTAGCTACCTCCCTAATTCCTAAAAATACTATCTACCTTCATTTTGCTATTCAAGGTGAGGAGAAATTACTTTTTGTATTTTTTCTCTCCTGAAGTTCTTCAACGGTTCATTTACTTTTGGCAACGCCTTTTGGCGCTATGAAACATCTTTTGAGATTCATCGCAATAAATTTGTTTAATTTTTAACAAATGTGTAAAAACAAACATTTTTATGGAAACTTGATGTGAAATATTAATCTGAAATATTCATAGTTTCAATGCATTATAAATTCGCTCATGATAGTCAAATTTTGAATGCAAAAGCGTTGGAATCGTTGACCATGATGTAAATTAATAGCTGTTTTCATAACAAATGCGGAAAGCAATGCTTTACGGTTGCTGCACGAGGCTTGCCGAGTGCTTGTAAACACATGAATTCGTAAATCATCTTCCCGCTCGTATTATGTACATTAGCATAAGCATCTGTTTTCGGTTGAGAAAATCCTGAAGTGATTTTTGATTTCTCAATATTTTCACTTGAATAACGTTGATCGTAACAAAAGGTGTAAAGCTGTCTTTAAGCAACTAGAACTAGAGTTGTTTTTAATTTTTGTAAGAAATCCTGTTCCAGATCAAATGTAACTAAAAAATCAAACCACTTAATTTTGCATTTTATCTATATACTATTGAATAACATTTTATTACTTTTTTAATTCCCGCGCCAATTTTTTGCTTCTAATTTTCAAATTATTGATATATGGTAGGTATAACATAATATTCATGTGTTTCTTTGTTGTTACGTTTCAGAGCAGCCGTCATTTCCCAGAATTTTTAATGCTGAAGGATATGAACTAAAGGAAAACAGCAAGGCAGGTCCGTTTCTGGAAGGTTATGAACTATTTCTTTCATGTCAAGTTGTAGGAGGTAAGTACTTGTCGTCAAAATTTACTACATATATAATATTAACTATATACCTGCATAAAATAAAAGTTTGAACTCTAGATCTAGCCTTTCATTTTATGGTTAGTAAAAGTTCGCGCTTTAAATCCAAAGGGCATCTGTACACGTATTATTTCAAACAATGACTGTGTGTCTCTTCAAATTGATTGTTTAAAGTATATTTTCATAACTACTGATGAAATATTTTACGTAACTAGTTATAAAATATTAACAACGAAATTAACATTGGCAAGGTATATATAATTTAACTAGTGATCCATTTGTTGTAGTATGTAATGCCTGTGTGTACTGAAGGAAAGGATCGATACATTGTCGTCGAGTGAAGAAGTGTTATCCTTAAAAAGAACATTTGTTTCAGGTCGTCCACGTCCTTCGTTGACATGGTGGTACAACAACATGATCCTTGATAGCGTAGTGGACTCAAGTAAAGATTCCATTACAACCGTAAACCAGCTGAAGATTCAGCGCGTTCCTAGAGATTACAAGAAAGCTAATTTTGAATGTAGAGCATCCTCGCATTCCAGTGCTGGAGTGATAGTGCGACAAGTGCCAATTGTAGTATTTTGTAAGTGAAATCAATAAAAGAAGACAAATACGCAAAATTGTGCACACCGTGTATTCGTTATCCAGATCATCGAACAATAAATTATTTGATGTATTCTACGTGTATATTGAGCGTCCATTAAAATTTTTGAGCTTGATTTAGCATGCGAAATAAATGTGTATCGATTAGTGAATGAAACAAAGGCAAATATAATATTTAACTTCGAAACTTCAACAAATGCAATAAACGTAAATTTCACATTGTTTCATTTCCCAAAGGTACAGTTTGGCATCAACATCGCAGCAAAGGCTTCCCGAGCTGAAAACGAATAAAATTCTCGATGTGACAAATTTATCCTGAAATTTTGCCTTTAAAAATAATCAACATCAAACATCGACCTGGATAACTTTGTTATTTAAATATCGGAAACACAATGAAACCATTTCTTTATGGCGTGAAACACGTGTTTTTCCGTTCCAGTGAAGCCGAACAAGGTTAAAATTGTCACCCCAAACCAACTGATGTCGATACATAAATCCCAGAATGTAAAGTGCGAGACTTCCGGTTCTTACCCTCCTGCGAAACTGACATGGCTACTCGACGGAAAACCTATTAGGAACGCCGTTGTTACGGTAAGGGAATTTACTCTGACGTTGTTGTTAATTGCATCACTACGTTGCATTCGAATCGGCTTTGCAGGAAGCTGCAACAAGTACGTTACAAGCATAATCGTATTGGGAATTTTGAGAAAACTTACACGTTGCAGAATTTCCACTACAAAACAGCGTTGTTTTCCATACCGCTGTAAAATTTGTGCATGACAGCTCGAGCTGCAAAACTGCACTTTCAAATTCTGAAACATATTTAGCGAATTATCCAAACATTGTTTGTTTTCTTTTCAGCAGACATATAAATAGCATCGGAAAAAGGCAACCAGTCCTAATAGGTCATAAAATTTAGATCGTAACTTAGAATTATCAACCAACGAAATATGATTTAATTTTTATTGTTTTCAGGAGGAAGAAACCGATTCCTTTACAGGCAGCATCATTTCGTTAAAGGTGGTGGCAGAAAACGACGGTAAGGATCTAGTATGCCGAGCAAACAATCCTCGTTTCCCTGGGGGATCTCTTGAAGACAGGAGACAGATAGATGTTGCATGTAAGACTTTCTTATTTTTCTTGCGTTCGATCGATTACCACCTGTTCAAACGGTTCGATTGTACTTGGTCGAGAATGTTTTAAACACAGTTGACTCTACAGAGTAAGGTTGTGTTGTGTCTATCTGCTTTCATTTATTACTAAGAAACGCAGTTTGGCGGTGTGATGTTAATGAAGCGGCAAGTACATTTACGTTCGGTTTGTTATCTCTCAATATACTTTTATGATACTCATATTTTCATTACGACGGCTGGCGTTTTATGCGCAATAAATACTAAAATGAAGTGCTAAAAATCATACTCTTTTGTTGACAATGCTTTATTCGATATTCCACTGAATCAATTTAGTATCTTATCAAATTTAAAGAAATTCTTATAAAATTTATTTTTTCAAGTTTATGCTTTTTTTTTCACACAGATAAAGTAACATACCACGTAAAAATTTAATGTAGGATTTTACATTCTGGTTTCAGAAATTATATATCTAAAATAGCCATTGGAGAGAGATATAGTCTTTAAAGAATAACATTTTTGTATTCTACAATTACCAGATATGAAATGTAGAGAAATTGCCACAACTTAGCAGAACCTGTGCCACTGACTTCTACCGTTTGAATTCATTTTTTTGAAGCATGGAGTTTTCCAGTTAAGAGGTGGATCTATGTTCCACACTGTTTAAAATTTATCTATTATGATCGAACGTGTCGAATGCTCCCGATAAACCAGAAATTACTTTTGCTATTTAAGTGTTATGAACACTCGTGACGACTTTTTTAAAAGAAAGCCATATGAGTTGAACGTTGAACTAATTTTAATGTTCTGAAATTAAATTTGTACAGCTCCATGGGAACTATATAATTCAACAAAATATCAATAAATTTTGGTTTACCATTGCAAATATTCATTAACGCGATTTTTAAACATTTTGACATTTTCTTACTCAATTATATCCATGATCAGTTTATTCCAATTCTTTATTACACGAACTGCGAAGACATTTTTCATAGTGTTTGTCTTGAATAAAGGCGGTGTCTTCATAATCTCTGCGACTCGTCTATAAAATGAAAACATTGATGACCTTCCTTACCTTACCTATTTCTTTAATTGCTGAAGGTAAGTGATTGTTACACGTCATAGCTGAATAATGCACACCCTTTACATACAGCGCTAGTCTATGTTCTGATAAGCAGAAGTTAATTTTATTTGTAGTGTCGTAGGGGTGGCGAAAAAAGCAAGACTAAAATTCTTTCGCATTGTTTTTTAAATAAATCAATAAATTGTAGATAAAAGTTCCATATACTGTCGGTAATTTATTATCGCTGAAAATAGTTCTACATGATTCACTCATCCTCATATGAAAGATCTTACGTATTATTCTGTTTTGCATTATGAAAGCACTGTGTAAGAATGGATTATTTCACCATATTATTATATATAATATAGCAGGGAATAAACATAACCATAATAGGCACTTAGTGTCGTTTGTACCGACACATTTTTGCTTAGTATTTTGATGGCATAAGCTGCCCTTGATAATCTCGAGACCAATTAAAGTTTAGCTGAGTGTCAAAGTGGATTCCAAACAGCTTACATGATTCTGTAAAGTTAATCGAAGTCTGATTGAAATTTATTTTTGAAGGAAACATAAAATTATTGTTGTAGTTTTAAATCCAACACATTAACTTTTTTGCTAATTTAGAATTAATTGATTGAATTGAAGCCATTTGTTTATATTTTCAAGAACTGAAGTCACTACGGATTATGTTTCAGTTGTTTTAGTGAGTGCGATCGTGTGCGGAGTATCGTGTTTACAGCCTGTTACTGATGAGACTTTAGAACTATAAATTTCCGTTTTCCTTTCCTGATCATTGCTGTAAATAGCAAAAAGAGGAGGGCCCAGGCTGCTACACTATGGAATTCCTATAGTAATATATTTAGAGCTGGACTTTGTTCTTCTGTTATGATTATCATTTTTTGTTCCCATTTTGTTAAGTAGGATTTTATTATATCAAGGAGCATGGATGTAGTTAAAGGAGCGTTAGATTCTATCATTATTCCTTCGTCACCATAGAGGCGGTGACTTTTCGACAGCAACCCTAGTGAGAGGCGCGAACGAAAATTACGATAACTCATTAACAATGTGGTGACGAGGCAAACAATATATTGAAAATTAACTATTTGTGACTACGGTTTCGAAATGGACAGCTCACCGAACCACATGTTCACAACGCGTTGTCGACGGTGACTTCATTGGTGGACGATCTCGATGTGGAGTATTCTTTGGATTGATGTCTGCTTCCGTAAGATCCTGGTTGTCTAATTCGATTTAGGAGATTTTGAGACGATCTATAGAGACGGTACTTGATTTACCATTGATAAGAAGCGTAAAGAACTTGTCCTCTTTACCTAACACTTTAAACGGACCATCGTACGGTGGTTCGAGGGGCCGTTTAAAACGATCAACGCGCACAAAAACGAAATTTGCAGTTTCTAAGTCTTTTGGTACGTAAACGTCTTGTTCGCGGTTGTGAGTGGTTGTGGTGTAGGCTATCTTCTGCATATCATTCCTGATCTTATAATATAATTCTTAATGTTGTACAGTAGAGAAGTTCTTCGTTTCGAAGTGCAAGTAATACAAGAGAGAGTGTTTGTGCCCGCTGAGCGTCATGACATTTTAGAGCTGTCTTAAGCCTCCTGTAAAATCTTTCTAATTTCTGTTAATTCCAATTAAGCTCCGAGAAGAGGCTTGATTCGACCTGTGTACCACGATCAGTTATTATTTGTGACGGCACTCCGAACCGAGAAACCCAATGGTTAACAAGCGTTCTGGCACAAGTTTCAGCTGTTATGTTAGTGATGGGGACGGGTTCCGGCCATCTCGTGAAGTGATCGATAGCTGTAAACAGGTACTAGACACCTTCTGAATGTGGAAGTGGACGAACTACTTATATTATGTCAACGTAGATGTACTAACCGACATAGAAAACCGAATACCAAGAAGGAGTTGGAATTTTATAATGATTTTAACACCACATATTTACAGAAGGTCGGTCACCAATATCGATGAAAATTTCAAGTTAAAAAATCAAAGAAGAACTAAGTTTTTATTAATAATGGGTTTGACCACCTCTAAGACGTATACACTCATTGACTCGTCTTGGCATGGATCTGATTAGATGATTAATATCCGGCTGAGCTACGACATCCCATGCGAGCTGTAACCTCATGTCGTAAAGCTTTTAGGGTCTGTGGAGGATGCATTAACTTTGTGAGCTGTTTACTCATTACATTCCATACATGTTCAATGTGTGAAAGGTCAGGTGAACGAGGTGGCCATGGTTGAAAAACAAGGTCGGGAGCGTCTGAAGATATGGCAAAAGATGGGGTTCTACAATCTCGTGGATGAAACGATGAGCATTCACGTTGCCTCTAACAAAGACTAGAGGTGACCTGCTTCCATACGCCATAGCACCCCGTACCATTACCCCCACAGTGCGATGCACATGTCTTTCTATTGCAAATTGCAAATTGCCCCGTTCTCCTCTTCGTCTTCTCAGCCTTACCCGACTGTCATGCATTGCCAAACACAACCAGGATTCATCACTAAAAACGATATTGTGCCATTCAGCATCCGAAAGCTGTCGTTCTCTGCACCAGAGCAGCCGGTCACAGCGGTGTGCAGCCCTCAGCGGAAGCACATAATGAGGACGATACGAGAGAAGTCCAAAGGACCGTATTCGCCTGAAAATCGTTCGCACTGTGACTAGTTGTCCTGTCTCAGCCAACCATTATCTCCAATTGATCGAGAAGTTGCAAAATGGTCTCTTAAAGCTAAAAGTTGAAGATGGCGGTCTTGACGATGTGTTGCTTGCTATCGACCACCTGTGCCTCTGGAACTTCATTGTCGACCTTCCTCTGTCCATGTCCACCAACATTCTGAAACTGTGCTTGCGCTTCTCTGCATTATGGCCCCAATTTCCCAAAACGAGTTTCCAGCTTCTCGCAAGCCCACAATCCTTCCTCTATCCAACTCGCTAAGTTGACTGAAATTACGACATCAACATACAGGAGGCATCTTGCCAGAGTAATACAGAACCCCCATACACCAAATTCGATGACAGTAACAATAATAGCCACACACGAGCTGATGTTTGCTTCCATGGTTTGAACAAAAAAGATTATGGTACGGACAAACTGTCCTCCCGATACGACCCAAATTATCATCATTTCTTATACTACCTAATATCTAACTTATATACGAGGTTTGGTCAAAAAATTCCAACTCGTTCTTGGTGTTCGGTTTTCAGTGTTTGTTACTATACGTGGACATACGAAAGTCTTGCGTCGGGATTCATGAAAGTTCCAGTTGGCGATTTGATGTGCTGATGTATTTTGTTTTTCTGACACTGAAGACAGGTCTTAACCCAATTCGATGTATCTTTTCTCATACTTGGCCAGAAAAAGTTTCTGAAAATTAATTTAATGGAGCTTTTTCTACCAGGATGTGCGATGTTATGAGTAGATTTAAAGATGCGATGACGGTGCGGAGACGGAATGTATAGACGATTTCTTCCTAACGTCGTTTCGTACCAGAGATGCTGAGCTGACAAAGGCTCTTGAATCTCTTGAAAGGTGTAGCGAGCACTGAAGAGTTTAGAGTGTTGCAAGAGATCGTAGCAATTCTCGAAAACATGCCCGCAGGCAAGTTATTGATACCATTGATATATTGAATGTGGGTGGAGCATTGCGATATCGGTTTTTTCTCTGGAACGCATACATCAAAGGTTTGTGGTCGCAGAAAATTGTAAAAGTACTACCGTCGAGGAAATGTTGAAAATGAAAAATGATTTTGTAAATAGCAAGCAACTCTCTGTCGTAAGTGTTGTAGCGTCCTTCTGTGCCGGTGAGTTTTTTCGAGAAGAAAGCAATGGGTTGTTGTTCGTTGTCAACAAGTTGCTGACAACTGTGAGGTGGTGGATACGTTGAACGAGCCACATTCAGC